GAAATGCGTTTTTGAGAGATAGCAGATGCACGAAACCCTGTGTTTTTCCATACAAAGTGCGTCCCCGAACGTCGATGATCTACCTCTGCGGTGCGACGGGTGCGAGGCGGTCTCGTGTGTGGTCGGATCATTCTCGGACCATGGTCGGATCATTCTCGGACCATGGTCGGATCGGTTCTGCATTGTAAATGGGGTTTCAAGTGTTTTTCGTGCATGCGCGGTCGACAGAATTCCATTGTGATTTGCAACTGTAGGATCGTTCCCGCAATGTAAATGGGATTGCAAGTGGTGCTGGTGGAGGAGTTGCCGATGGAGTTTTGGAGGAAGTCTCGCACGAAATGCGTTTTTGAGAGATAGCAGATGCACGAAACCCTTTGTTTTTCCAGACAAAGTGCGTCCCCGAACGTCGATGATCTACCTCTGCGGTGCGACGGGTGCGAGACGGTCTCGTGTGTGGTCGGATCATTCTCGGACCATGGTCGGATCATTCTCGGACCATGGTCGGATCGGTTCCGCATTGTAAATGGGGTGTCACCTGTGTTTCGTGCATGTGCGGTCGACAGAATTCCATTGTGATTTGCAACTGTAGGATCGTTCCCGCAATGTAAATGGGATTGCAAGTGGTGCTGGTGGAGGAGTTGGCGATGGAGTTTTGAAGGAAGTCTCGCACGAAATGCGTTTTTGGCGCTAGTGATTTTCCTTCTAAAAATCCTTTTAAAAAGTGCTTCAAAATCGTCTTTTTTTCGCTCTCTGGCGTCGAGATCCGGTTTTGGAGCTACAATTTCCGACGCCGTTGCGCGTAGTTCTCTTGTGTTTTGCAACTCAGTCTGCGCAGATCGCATTGTAATGGCTGCGTCAAGGTTGCTTCATGCTGTGGCTGCATGCGTAATACTATTGTCTTTTGCAGCTGGACTTCGTAAATCGTATTGGAGTGGCTGCATGAAGGCTGCGACAGTGATTTGTCAGCAGATTTTCTCCATTTTGGCGCTAGTGATTTTCCTTCTAAAAATATTTTTAAAAAGTGCTTCAAAATCGTCTTTTTTTCGCTCTGGCGTCGAGATCCGGTTTTGGAGCTACAATTTCCGACGCCATTGCGCGTAGTTCCCTTGTGCTTTGCAACTCAGTCTCCGCAGATCGCATTGGAATGGCTGCGTCAAGGAGTTTTGAAGGAAGTCTCGCACGAAATGCGTTTTTGGCGCTAGTGATTTTCCTTCTTAAATCCTTTTAAAAAGTGCTTCAAAATCGTCTTTTTTTCGCTCTCTGGCGTCGAGATCCGGTTTTGGAGCTACAATTTCCGACGCCATTGCCCGTAGTTCTCTTGTGTTTTGCAACTCAGTCTCCGCAGATCGCATTGTAATGGCTGCGTCAAGGTTGCTTCATGCTGTGGCTGCATGCGTAATACTATTGTCTTTTGCAGCTGGACTTCGTAAATCGTATTGGAGTGGCTGCATGAAGGCTGCGACAGTGATTTGTCAGCAGATTTTCTCCATTTTGGCGCTAGTGATTTTCCTTCTAAAAATCCTTTTAAAAAGTGCTTCAAAATCGTCTTTTTTTCGCTCTGGCGTCGAGATCCGGTTTTGGAGCTACAATTTCCGACGCCGTTGCGCGTAGTTCTATTGTGTTTTGCAACTCAGTCTCCGCAGATCGCATTGTAATGGCTGTGTCAAGGTTGCTTCATGCTGTGGCTGCATTTGTAATACTATTGTCTTTTGCAGCTGGATCTCGGAAATCGTCTTGGAGTGGCTGCATGAAGGCTACGAAATAAATTTGTTAGCAGATTTTCTCTATTTTGGAGGTTTAGAGTGTGGGGCGTAAAGAGTGCAGTGTGAAGTGTGAAGTGTGAAGTGTGAAGGAATCAGTGGGAAGTGAGAAGTGTGAAGTGTGGAGTGTGAAGTGTGAAGTGTGAAGTCAGTTTGGAGTGTGAAGAGCGCAGTGTGAAGTGTGAAGTGTGAGGTTTGGAGTGTGAAGGAAGCAGTGTGAAGTGTGAAGTGTGAAGTGTGGAGTGTGAAGTTTGAAGTTTGGAGTGCGAAGAGTGCAGTGTGAAGTGTGGAGTGTGGAGTGTGAAGACTTTGCTTCGTCTCTCGCTGAAAAAATCAAACGGTTGTCGAGGGAAGGACACGGTCGGGACAGGGTGTCTTTGAACTATAGGTCATTTATGTTTGGGAAACTTCCGCCGCCGGCTTGCCCGGGTCTATGTTAAGCGTTAACCTTTCCGGCAAAATCATCGGTGAGAATGTTTGTAAGTGCTGACAACAACTTTGCATCCAACGTCGTGAACTTGCCGACATTTCGAAGAGACTCCATGGTTTGGCCTTCCTTCCATGTTTCACTAATCCAATCAAATGCTTTGTCTGGGTCAGTGGAAGCTGACATGACGGCCTCCCTCGTGCGGATTCTCCAGTTTCGGTATGATTCGGCATGAGGAAAAGCTGGCACTTTCACACTGTCTGCTTCTTTGACCCTATTTTTGTCATTAGATTGGTCCTTGGGATTGCCAAACATGGCTCTCATTCCTCGGATAAACTTGCGATCACTGTCGTCAGAACCATCCCCATCATCGTCTCCATCATCATCACCGTCCCCAGGCCCACCTCCCGGTGGGCGTCTGCTCCCCGAAGGGTGCTTCTTCCCACGCTTGTCCTTTCCCCGCCTCTGCTCGTCACTCCCATTGGAGTCTTTGTCACCGTCAGGAGGGTCAGGTCCAGGTGGTTTGCCTCCTGTATCCGATGGTGCAACAGTAGTAGGTGGATATGTTGGAGACCTAAGACTTGTGATCTCTGTTACTGGATCGTATGCATCAATGGGTGCATTGCCATCCCCTTCAAGCATTTCCCATAAATCTTGATTGGGTACAGTAGGTTTGGATGCACTGGCGGATGCAAATGCACTCAGTGGTGCCGTGATCTTGACCTCAGTCGGTGGCGGCATGACGGCAGTGGTGGTTTGGACAATCGGTGCGGGTAATGGGCCTATTGTGTCAAGGAGTTTACTCATTCTCATGTTCATTGATTCGGTCTGCAACTGTTGGGCTCTGATTTGCTCACTTTGTTGCTTGATGATGGATTCAAGTTGGGACAGCTGCATTCTCCGGCTCTCATCCTGGCGTTCATAGTGGTCCCTCAGAGCTTGAATCTGCTGGTCCTTTGTGGCGTTCGACTGTCTGGCGTTTCCGTCTAAAACCCTTTTGTACACTTCCCCTTGTTGTGCGAGTTCTTCACGAAATTGACTCTCCCGACCTCTGCGAGCATCATCATCTGATGCATCCGGGCGCTCGCAGCTTCTTCCTCGGCATGGAACCTGCCACTCATTTCTGTCACCATCATTTGAACCATATTTTCAGTGTTGGCTAAAGCCTCTCGATGGCGTGCCTCAGCAACCTGCTCTACCATCTGTGTAACTGCAGGGTCATGCGAATTCACGTACACTTCATTGTTTTGAACTTGCTGAAGGTTCATAGTGTTATTCACTTCAGTTGTCTCATGGTGATGAACTTCAAGCTTGTTCGATTGATTTCGATTGTACATGATGTGAGCCGGCAGGCATGCCCTCCCGGGATGCGTGAAAGTCGTATCCTCGGTGTGAAAACCTTGACGCTCCACTTTGGGGCATCACAGCGCCTGGTGGAAGCGGGATCTTAACCTCACGCTTGTCGCTTCGAAGGGAGTCTGGGATGTTGTGTGAATTGGGGTGTCACTCACAGTTTTGTCATCGTCCGCGTCCTCGATTGCCATGGCTTGACCGGTCCCGGATTGGCGAGTGCCTTCTGGTGATGGTTTACCAGAAGGGGCAGACATACTAGTGACAAAAAAGAAGGTACGTGGCGATACGGCTGATAACCTATACTTAGAGGTTAAACAGCCTCAAACAGCCACCAAATACGCACACTGTTTTTGTCTTGAGCCATGAGTCCAGTAAATGTACAATAACCACAAGGCACACTTTACAGGGAGGAACAGGATAGTATATAATGACATCCCGTAAAAACATTTATTATTATTTTTGCTGAAACCAACTTTCTCTGCTCTACACGGGTCATAAGGCTAAAAACCTATGATGTAACATTCCCAGTATTTTCAAGTTTGTTTTGTCACAGGGCTAAAAAGCTGGTGGCCCAACATCTTCAAAGATTTCTCTGTTCACACGGTCCGGTGTCTGAAAACCTAGGGCCCTTGATTTCGACATCAAACCAGACTACCATCATTGCAGATGATGAATTGCTGAATCTAAGGTTTTGCCAATATGTTTCAGCCACCACTCCGTGGCTAAAAAGGGCGGCACTAGCCTCAGGTTTTAAACCAGCGACCCCCAACGGGGATGATTATACATATACATATATATATATTATATATATATAACTCATTTGAAAATGTGACAGCCACGAAACACATTTCACTTAATTCCAAGTTGATTTAATGTGTTTTTCCTGTAATGAATTGCATCGATTTAATCCTTGGGATTTCCTGGGGTTGCACAAGCAAGAACAAAGAAGTTGCAAACGGGCATGAGCCTTTCCTGATCCTCTTCAAGCGACAGAAATTGGGTTCCGCATGGTTCCGCGCTAGCGGGTGCAACGAGCAACACATTGGTGAATCGCCATACATGGGTTCATGATAGCTCATGTTCGACAAACATGAAGCTCGGCTTCTCTGCAGCAAGCGGTATGCCAAGATTTCTTGGGGCACTTTGTGGTGGAGTGATGCGCAGTGTCTGCATCCTGCTCCAATTTTCTGCATCAGTTGAATCGTCATTCAGGTGCAACCGCCGCATGGTTCACGTGCCCTGAAAAACTATGACCATTTGGTTGGGCACAGCAAGGCAACTATTGCCATAACATTTCATTTCAATCTAATCTATGATGATCTCAAACGCCCCGTTTGCTAGTATCAGTGTCGGGGTTATCTCTCTCCACGATGTGAAACACATGGGTTTGGAATACTAGGAATGCTTGAAAATGTCTGCAGTCCGGGGGCTGAAGTCTGATGGATTGCATGCCAAGACACGCGCCAGTGTTCGCGTCAGGTCTTCTGCGGGGGGCTCTGCGGCATCTGTTGAAGGCATCGTTGC